GCGGAAACTACACTTCTACCTTGAAGCACCAAGATGGCACCCTCAAGCAAGCGCTGGCCAACCCAGCCACGTCTGTAGTGACTGTACTATAGTCCGGGTCCATCTAGATGGTTCTCGAATGTAGCAGCGCTGCCGTTTCCCCATGGGGTTCAGTAGAGATGAAAACGAAGCGGGCAGGTCGGTAGCGGCGGCAATCTCGCAAGCGTCACTACAAAATAGTAGCTGGGGCAGCCGTGTCGACGACGGCGGTGGTGATCGTAGTAGCCGCCATAGTGCCGCTAGTGCGCTACTTACTGTACGTACGTCATATGTAGCCCATCAAAGCAAAAGTGAACCTTCGCATCTTTCGTTCGTTGCCACTGTGTCAGGCAAAAGAAAACCCCCGACTTTTCCACCCACTAGCCAATCAGATCTATGAAAGCGTTTTCCCACATAGCCGCCCATTTGGCCAACTGGCAGTATATGTATGCAAAAATAGAATAGTAGCAGAAAACATAGTATTCGCATGTATAGTTGTGAATTTTATCGAGAATGAATTTAGGTTCCGGAAATTATTTCAGTCCTATGAGAGGTGACGTGAGAGCTTTAGAAGTGAATGATGCATCGACGGCACGGTTACTCTGCCAGTGAGAAGATTTTTATGAATACGCTTTCCAATGCAGAAATCCCGCTAATGTGTAAAAGCAAGCGTAATCGCTTAAACAGCATTTAGAGAGGTTTAAAAAGAGGTTACCAGCTCAACCACAGACTCAATATACGGTGCGTCAAGTCTAAACGTCGTGTAAAATAGATATTCTTTGAAGAAAGACAAATGGCAATCAGTGTGTGCACAGTTGTCCTAACGACTTAACGGGTTAAGAGTCCCAAAGATATCTTACCTAAAGCTCTCGTGATCTAATAAGGCCTAACTTAGATCGGGGTAAAATATGTACGAATATTTAGTCTTTTTTTTTCGATACCTAAGACTGGTGTAATATGAAGAAGGCTCGTTCAGTCGTAGATAACCGGCCAACGTATATATCAAAACTGTTCTATATTCTGTACAATTCAACGAAGCTTACCTTATTAATAAAGCGATGCGAAGTAATACGAAGTGATACCTTATTGAAGCTGCATCGACGTTCCTTAAGGTACTCGTCAACAAAATATGCTTATTTCAAATATGATATAAAGTGAAGAGCAATTAAAACAAAAAAGATCACAAGACAAATACCAAATCTGTACCTAGATAAACAATTATTTAAAGAGGTGAACTTGAAACTACAGGCTTCATTTTGGGGTTCAATGTACTAAATACAACACCGGCAAGCATCACCGCTACACCAGTGTTGTAAATACGTCGCTAATGTAATTCTAGGCGTTTCTAAGGACAGCACAGGCTCAGGGTCAGGGAGAAAACGCAGTGCCGACTAGTCCTGCCAGCTATAGACCTGGAGCAATTTAAAGGACAATGTTCATTAGATATCTATTTTCTACTTTGTTTTTATGTTATGCGTTCTTTAGCTTTGACGAACGCGTTCATGAATAAAGTAATTCGTTCAAATTATCCTAAATAGTTTATCACCCGATATCTAAGCTGTGTTCGGATGATTCGTATGCCATATTTAGTGACTTTCCGTAGGACTGCTTACGTCACATTATGAGTACTCAGTACCGACACTTCCGATAGCTTCCACATACAGTGTGGTCCAAGTAGTCAGAGCAGAAGTCTTCGAGTTAAATCTTCTCTAGCTTCCGTCATAGATGACTTTCCATATGATGTGATGGTTAAATTTTTTTTAGCTCTAGTTTTTTCTTTGTTTCTTTTTGTCCAACAAAATTGTAAATCATGTGTGTGTAAGCTAAGCACCAGTGCGTGTTTGCGTTGCAGATATGTTACTTTGCTCTTAGTAACAAAAACGGCTTCAACACGATTGACAGTGATACCATCTATTACCGATATACTTAATATCCAAATGCGCGAAATGGGCAATATATCTTACAGAATAGAATGGGCAACTGAACTTCCTGCTTTGTCCTGTGTTCCCTATTTTTTGATGTCCTTCAGTCAGAACAGGATTTAGAAAATGAAAAATCGATATCATACGCACTTTGGTCCAAAAACAATAATGGGAACAGATGCTGGTAGATTCCGAAACCAAGAACAAACTAAATTGTAATCTTGTGCAGTGTACGGTAAGCTGTTTTTGCCTAAAATCTGCGGTGGGAAGAGATATATGTATCTAAATCAAGACCGGATTGGATATAAAGACGCAAAATATAAATGTTTTTTAAGCTTCTTTTGTTTTTTTAGTCATACTATTATAGGCCGCGTTACAATTGCACCATTATGCAAACGATTTTAGTTAGTACTTACTTCTAGCTTTGAAGGAACATAGTGCCATCCTCTAAAGAAGGCTCCTGTGATATTTTCAATAGCATTAACCACGGCCCAAACAAAGAACGGAAAGTTTTGAGATACTGTAAAATTATTGCGAAAAGGTATCCTTTCGACTCGTGACTCATATGCATTGTTAATCACTACCGCGGAAACTATGTTCATGTATAGCGCAAAATTTATGGTTGAAAGCTTCAGCTTTAAAAGTATAATTTGTTCTTGATTACATTTGCCCTATTAAAAAATTGAGCAGTAGAATTTTAACAAATGTATCTACTCAAAAGAGATGGCCAACTTCAGGCAGCTCCCAGGCCTCGTTTTTGCAGCGGCAGCCCAGTGACGAGCCTAACTATAACGTATAGGCGCAAAAGGAAATTGTTGATTTGAAAATCTGCCAGATACCTAAAACTGCTTCTTAAGTTCGAAAAGCGCCTTAAACATGTCTACATAGTCATTCTCGATACTTTAGATAATCGCATAGAGGGTTTCTGGTGTATACACTATAAAAAAAAAAGGAGCTATTATTCCTGCAAAGGTCATCTACAGGGAAATGAGCCAGCGTTTTTGCTAGTCAATTTGATGCGAATCTGATCATTTCTGTGTGTATATCATATTTAAACAGAGCGCAAGAACGTTACGGAAGCCTGAAAGCGAGCTGAGTGAGCTGCTATTACTGTATGCCGTTCAAATGCCCAGAGCCGTCGATTCACTCCTGTTCACTGCCGTTCATTCAGTCATAGGGCTAGAAGACCGTACAGGGAGGCAAGCTCATCGTGCAGCAGTGCGTGCAGTAATCCAGCCAAACCGTGCAGAAAATAAGATAGCTAGTGTCTAGCGTAACAGCGCATGGTCAAGCGTTAACTTGATGCTGTAGCGTCCATGTAGATCTACCCAACGCTAGGGTCCGGTTCACTGCCCGACGCAAATCCACTATTCTGCTGTACGACGGTAGTTTCTTTTCTCCTTTTGCACCACTTCTCCTGTATTAGGCAAGATACGAGCCGGCTTAGAACGACTAGGATGACTTCCAGCAGATGGTGTGCGACATGTTTACAGCTGCAAGCATCTCCTTTTTCCTACTGCGGCAACGACGACAGTGACCACGACAATGACAGCGTTCGCAAGCAACATCAGCGTCAACATTTCACGCGGGCGGGGAGCTAGCTAATGGAGATTGTAGCTTGTACTAGCCGACTACCGCCAGTTACAAAGAAAGCTATCCCAACGTCCCATGGTCCCTTCCCCGCAACTTGTTTATTGGCCGTACCAAAGCTAAACGTTCAATGTCACAGTTTGAACCGTCTGAGTAAGAAGGCCAAGACGGAAGGGTATCGCTTTATTTGTCATGTGCGTGTAATTGAAAGCATTGTCTAAGGACATATATTCTGTAATAACAATGCAACTCATAGGGGCAACCAGTACACCTAATTAACTTCTACTTTTAATAATCTGTCCACGGTTTGGTCTTAGAGTTACAACATAGCATTTTATAATTGTCAGAAACCTGTAAAGCTAGTTCAAAGCTTTCTGAACTCGAACTTCAATTACGTTCAGCGGAATCAATTGCAGAGCTACCGTGTCTCAAACTTGAAAAGGGAGAAATGTTTCTACCTGGAAAACTTTAATCGAGCAAGGATGGATACATGACAGATGGGTACCAGGAGAACTCCTCGAGAGCTAAGAAAAGATTACTCTAGTTCTAGTGAAGGGCACTGCGTTAAGCTATAGAAATACATCGATCGCAATGTCGATACTCCGCATGGGGTCTAGTTTAGTCTTCCAATTTAGTAGCGGAAGAGCTAGTGATTATTAAACAAGGGTCGGTACATACCCGCTGTATGTGAAACGTTGCTTTTGTTAGCTTTTCGACATTCGAATAACGAAAACCACGTATATTTTTCCATGCCCTTTTTTCGGGGTTCTACGAAGAAGTAGCTTCTCTGCTCTGCAGTATTTATTTTATTATTAGCGATTTGATTACAGCGTTGCGGACGTTTCATTACGTTCACTATCGTTTTTCATTTGAGGTATTTTCTACCAAAAAAAGGGATTCATTGGATCGCTGGGACAAAACTTAACTTCTGAAAGGCAGAATGTGTCGAAGCTGTTCTCTAAGGGTTATTAATTTTATAGATGAATAATCTAGCTATGCAAAAGATAATGAATTTCTCACTGCTGATTTTTTTAACAAGTACAGGTTTCCTTTCAAGCAACCGCGGCGCCTCAATTTAAGAAAATGATCGTACAATTTTCGTCTGTAACGTACTTGCCTTTTCACAAGCCTCAGCTTTTAACCGTGATCCTAATATTTTGTCTAGAAATACCTAGCTCAAAGAATATCGTTAATTTAGTCGCGTAAGCCATTCGCGGAGCTTGCCTTGTTTCGATTCCGTGGTTTGCTCCTTGAAGAAAGACGACCGCTATGTCGTGTCAAGATATCTTTACGTCTATCAGCTAACGTCGTCTATCCCTCCTCTCGCCGAGGTGACATGTTCCCTTTCCGAAAGTGGCGAGGGACACAGCGGAAGGGTCCTAACGGCCATGCAAAAGAACTCCGATGCGTCGCTTCTTCACTACATCCGAGCAGGAGGCACGAGACGGAGTGCTCTCGAGAAAACAATGAACTAAACGAAGATCTTTAAATAACAACAAAAGATAAAATTGAAGGTTTTAATTATATATTTGCACGCAACAACTTGTGAACGTGTTGTGTATTTGAGTATCAGATGGGTGTTGAACACGAGTGTGTGTTTTGATAATGTCGAGTACTGCAACAGACTGGATTATATTTTAACATAACATCGCAACGTTGCGAAAATCCTCTTAAATACTTTTTACGATTAAACAACGTTTATCCAGTGGAATACACGTATTAAAGCGAAACATTTCGTATTGCGCTGATACTCAGATAGAAGGGCTACTAAGATTTAATGGTGAGTTAGTTCAGGCGTATCGTCCCATAATCCGTGTGTATCGTTCACTACATTTATTGCAGATGTAAATATATCGTAGTATGAATTGTCACTAACTGCAGCATTGTATCTAAATTATTGGACAGAGATTTTTTGCCTTTAAATTGTTGTCAAGCTCAGCTGTTTTGCCTTTTTGGAGTGGTATGAAGTGTTGTCATGATCCTGTACAAACACCACCATCCTGAAGAGACTGCGTGTATATCATGACCACGTGACTCTTGTCTTTTGAAGGTAATTTATCGAGAATCATATTAACAAGATTCCCATTGCAGGGTCATGCCATTTTCGGCGATTAGCCTGGACCACCCAGACGGAATGACTCACCGACGAGTAATAAGCCACGACGCCAGTACTCACCTTCCGCCGGATCTGCCGCTGACACCTCCACGGAGTCCGTGTGAGGCTCCACCTAGGGACAAGGCGAGTCCTCAAGTAATGCCAAAGTTAAGCGGGTCGCCAATAATGACTACAATCACACAGCAATCGCCTTTAATCTCTACTTATGCCGCAAGTCGTCGATTAAAGCGAAAGCTTCGGGCAGCAAAAACGCGTCGCAGCGTTGGGGGATCTTTACGGGAAGGCGTCGTGGATGCTATTGGTCAGACTGTGGCAGCACATCTTCTGAACGGCGGAGACACCTCTTCACAATCGTTGTCGGTCTCGAAACTCCAGTTGGACCTACTTGCTAAAAGTTTGGCTAGCGGAATCGCGTCGAGGTTGGAGCAGCACATTGCTAACAGTCTTGTTAATTCTATTAGTACCTACGGTGCCTCGACGTCGGCGGCAGTTTCTCCGCCTGCAACAAACGCGTCTCCTCAAACTCCACCAATGCTTGCTAGGCAGGCCATACCTCCGTTGGGTATTCAGTTGAGTACCCCAGACATCGCTACAGATATCGGTGAGAAAAGATTCAAACAGTCTGTATGCTTATATCGCAATCGGGCTTTTTTTTTTACTACCAGTTAAAAAAAAAGTTGCATCATCCTCAATAAGCAATCGTACTGTACCTGGCTCAGAACTATTATTCTATCATACAAAAACGTGATTTAACAGGGCGTCTTACGTTCCTGTAACCAATCATTGAAATGAACTCACTAAATTTATTTGCAGGCGTCCACTGGTACAAACCCGATAGTGTTAGGATACTTAAACGTCCTAAACCCATTTCAGTGTTGACTGTTCAATGTCCGAGGAATGAAAAACAAGTTAGATCTCAAAGGTTCAACATTTCGTGGGGAAGAAGACTTCACGTATTGAATTGCACCTCATACATAAGAACCATAATCGTTTCTCTCTGTATTCTACATATGCGCTTCCTACATTCATTATTATTAAAAATACGCCCTATAACTTTAACTCGTTTAATAATACAATCTGGACGTTTTTATCAATCGTTGACAGTAAGAAGTTCCTCGAAACGAGAATTTTCCTTTAATGCAAATAAAACAAAGAGGGTGTCAATAGACACAACGACCTTATAACAACTAAACGAGTCTTCAACGGGACCGTTCCGGTACGAGTTGCTTGTTTTATGACGTCCTTAAAGTTCAAACGATCGCCGTTTGAGTAAAGAAATTAAAGCAGGAATACATCTATCATTATAGGTAATCCCTGCGGAAGCACGAGCACTACACTCCCAACTTCGCCAGCATTTATGTCACCTGCCTCTCATTTGCTCACCCCACTGAACCATAATCGGTCTTGCGGAGCGCCGTTGAGCGTCAACGGACGACCTGCGCCTGCGGCAGTGGTATGCGGAAGTGCTGGTAGGCAAGAGGCAACAATCTCAGGTCCCCCATTACAGGCGCAGGTGCTGTCACGATACCAAGAACAGCTGCCGGCAGCGCTTAGCCGTCATTTAGCCTCACTACACAATCCCGCTGGGAAACAGGTCGAGGGCCCGGAGGGGTCGAATCTTTTTATCTACCATCTGCCTCAGGTAAAAAAGGGTCTTTACCACATATGGTGGTAGATCGACATTACAAGATCTCATACACTGTTGTTGATAAGCCTTCATTCGATTCAGAGCTTCCGCCTTTGTCGGCTTATAAATTTGTATTTACTTCCATGTTGTTTGCATGCCGTCTTAAATTATTGAAACTAAAAACAATTCCACTTCAAAACCAGAAGGAAAGCTGCATCCCGATTTCTAGAAAATGTCTATTTCAATCTCTTTTTGTTTTGAATTTATCGCTGCAAATATCGCACGGGGAGTTGCTGCGAAAATAAAACTTATGTTGTCCCAGAAATTGATTTGTCGATTAAGTACGAAATATTTCGTCTCCCGGCTCACGTTGAACTCTAACACAGAGTTGCTTCCGGACGTTTTGTTACGTGCAATTCCATTAGACTTCATCATGTTGTAATGCCGCTCTTATTCGTTCTTCCCTCCACTAACCGAATGACAGGACCTAACGGACGCTGACCTGGTATCGTTGTTCGCTCCATTTGGCGAAGTCATCTCCGCAAAGGTGTTCGTTGACAAGCGCACTCAACTCTCTAAGTGCTTTGGATTTGTCTCGTATTCAAACGGACTACACGCGCAGGCAGCCATTCGCGCACTTCACGGCTTTGCCATTGCCGACAAGCGTTTAAAGGTGCAGCTGAAAAGATCCAAGAAGACTTCTGGTCCTGCTAGTCCGAATGTTACAAATACGTTTTTTTCGACACCTAGGCCAATTCTGAGAGCGGCTGTATTGCCCTATTGATGACTATTTGAAACGCAAAAGCCTTCGACAGGTGATGATGCTATTCTAATAATAATGTATTACAGATAACAGCAGCCAAGCGCTTGCTACACTTAATGGAAATGATTTTTTCTGTACATACTGTATATAAAGGTATTTACGGAGCACCATTGAATGTTGGTTGATGTAAAGAAAACAATTTGAAGAAGGTTTAGCATAGAACGGTGTACTTTATGCATTACATATGTATCCATTCGCAGTCATTGTTAGACAAGAAGGATAAAACACAACGTTTCTGAAGGTTATTCACTGTACAGAAAATGAGCCTTCGCTGAGCTGTATTAATTCGTCTGCTTTTACCGTTATCGAGTAGCTCACTACTAATAAAACCATAACAGAGAAAGCTTCATTCGTGCCCCTTTTCGAGGATGTGAAGGCGGGTGTACGAGATGATGCTACCGCGACGATGCTCTCCAACACTCCCATCGCTGTAGGCACAATATAAAAGCGTAAAGCATATCGTTGTTGTCGTTGGCGATAGTGGTCGATAACGATTGCAGTCGCGCATAATGGTAACAACAAAAAAAAAAAAGACACAGACTTGACTCGATAATAAATATCTGTGATGTTCTTTTTGAATGGTATTGAGTTGCGGTGTTTTCATTAGTGTGCAAGGCGGGGGGTTTGAGCAGATTGGCAAAAAGACTGGGAAACGAACGGTCTGTGTGAGTGCGTTCGTGTCTGTGACGATTAATTGTACCGAGTGCTGTTGCTGTGTGCGACAGAAAAGTGAGAAAGAGATTCGGGCTTTCGTTAAGCATCGCACCGTAGTTACCCGATCCGATTTGCAAGCGGCAGTAGTGACAACGGGGGCATTGGTGTACCCGGCTTTGGTAGTACGGTAGCGCAAGAGGCAAGGGAAACTTTTCGCGTCACTGGAAGTTCCGGTCCGACCATGCTAGAAAGGCCAGGATCTGTACCGGTCAGATTCGACCCCACTGAATCCCTAGTTTTGTCACTCTGAATATGATTTAGGAGAAGGGATGATTAAGGCATGTGCATGGGACGGTAATGGGGCAGACACTACGACAACCAAAACTACCCCTGCATGACCTGCGTGGTGGCAACGTGGGCGCCAAGTGATGCTGGAGCAACTTCATGCTCAGTTTGTTGTACTGAGCGCTCCGAGGGGTTCGGAGTGGGATCGCAGAGGAGTTCGAGCAAACGAAAACAATAATGAAGTGCTGCCAACGGCCTAACAAAACGTTCGCGCAAGATCCTAACAGCACGAAACGTGCCAAATGATAGCGATTCCGGAACGCTTTGTTACGCTATACATTCTGCTGTATCATTTGCGAACAGAACCCCTGCGCTTAAGTCAGTAGAGTTTGTTTGTTTGTTTCGGACAAGGAAGCTGAGAAGTAAACGCGACTCGCCATGGCGCTGTTTCTGTGCACAGCATACATGACGAAGGGCTTCTTTACAAGCGAGAACTAGACGCGAGGTCTTTAAACTTATATGGGCAGACCTTGAAAAATATGACTCCATTCAATAGCATAGTTCTAACAGAATGTGCTCCGCTATGGCTGCTATGCCAGTTCTCTCATAATCGTAATAGTTCAATATGGAATAATAAGGTGGCGTAAACAAAATAGTGGAAAGCAAAGCAGTCGTCTAGCAATCAACTCAATGCTACCCGTTGCGCAAGATAACACTATGAAACTAAGGAACTTCTGGAGATTTTTATGGCTTAGGCCTGTAGCTTACATCGCTTTTAATTAATGTATCTGGTTGGAAGATTTTTCGCAAAATTACTGCAATCAATTTCTCCCAACTTATCCCATTGTAGATTCATGATTATACTTAGAATGTTGATTTCCTGAGATTTAACGATTTTCACATTGCAGCCATTACGTAAGGCCATTAAAATAGCTTCTCAACAATAACAAATCGATGGACGCTCATTCAAAAACCGATTTTTCGACCGATAACGAAATATTCGAAGTGGGCTTACGAAGCTCATCGAAACTAATTCGTGTTTCTCCATAATGGTTTTAGCAGAAGCACTTTTATGAGGCTTTTTGGCTTAATTTTACCTCTATTGAATAAAAACTCGATGTTTTAAAAAAATGAATAGTTTTTTTATCTAATCATGTAAAATACTTGATGCGTTTTCGGCAAAAGTTGCCACAGTTGGGTTTTAAAATTTTCTTGACTCTTAGTTTACAGTTTCTTGAGATCGATGCGATGATACGTTGTGCTTTTAGCGGGTAATAATTATATATTATAGTAATGCAATAGTTAAAGCGAATCCCTGGCTGGCCTTGCATACAGATAATTACCTGATTGATATGAATGTGAACGGTGCCTCATATTGGAATCGTATAGCGGTAAATACTAACGAAAAACCAAAAATGTTTGCCAATCATTGTTTTAATTTTTTGCCCATAAATTTAACGATAGCTTAATCAGCTGAATTTGACAAATCCATCAATTTTAGTTCAAGCTTTGGTGCAAATCAATTACAATGTACGTTTGGGAAGCTAGGGATAGAATATTCATTTATACGGTTACCCTGTGCTAGTTCGTGAGCGATTCTAGCTGTGCAGAGTGTGTAGATACGAAGTTCTTTCAGCATTACGTTATAATCCAATACGTTATTATTAATTAAGTAAAATAAACACCCTGAGCCAGTCGAGGTTAAGTTAAAAATCATCTGGGTTTCTACTCATGTACAAAACCAAACGTTGAGGCCTGAGCATTTTTACTAAAATATTTTGTCCGTTACTGCCGACCTTTCATTTCGGCGAGACTTCTACAATAACGCCCAAATGAAAATTTGGCTTTCTCCAAGTTTCGTCTTAACCTACAACTGAGCCTTAAAATTGTCGGTTGCAGACGGATGACTGCCACTTTAAATCTCTACTAGACGACTACGCACAGAGTTGCCACAGTAGATGTTGGCTTTTTCCTTCTCCTCTGATCCTTATATTCCTTCTAAATAAATCATGGAACACATCATTATATCACGTCCCTATGTACGTCGTTGCTTATGTGTGACTGTTAGTCGAATAGTTCGCTTGGCGCTCCTCTGCGCTTTCTCCACTTGCACTGTCATACATGATCATCATTGTCTAACTTTGTTTGTATTCAACATGTACGAAGCAGATGACATGCATAGAGTGCTTTAGTAGATAATAACACAAGATACTTAGAGCATGGACGCCACTCGTAGTTACAATGCGATTCGCTGCAACTGCACGTAGATGCTACGCCTCCTAATTGTTAAGGTTGGCCCGGCCAGTCAAGAGGAACGGCACGGAGCAGGCGAAGCATTAGGACATTTCCATGAGGCGGCCAACCAGCGTGCAGCCATTGAAACCACGATCATTTGGCATGTCTCTTATACATTTTTTTTTTTTCACTCTCCCTGCCTTTCCTTTTGCCGCTGCTGATTCTGCTTCTATTCTGCATTCTGCTGCCGCAGAGGCCCAGCTCTGACTGACTAGTCGACGAGGTGGGTTGTTTTGGCTCCATTAATTCTGATTACGCCCCTGGTTCACTTCTCTTTTCATTCGCCCTTGATGTTCCCTATCCATGTCGCCGCCACTGGCACCGTTACCGCTGCCACCGCTTGCCACCTTCTTTCTCTAATATTGCCCCTCTCGTTATTCCCATTTTGTTCCTTGCCTGTCGGCTGCTACTGGCCGACAGATAGATCGTCCAACCAAAGGATCCTTGTGTCCCCCAATGCCTGTTTTCCGGGCGACGCTGGTTCAGTCGACTCTTCAGTGGTGACGCGCGGACCACCGCTTCCTGAACGGCTCCTGACTGATGGATCTGGTCGGTGACTATGTAGCTCTGGCGCCGTTCGACCTCACTACGATGGTGGTACCATGTTTGCAGTTTTGCCGTCTCGCGTACTCTCGTTATCCCTCTGGTTTCTACTTTTCTCTCTACAAGACCTTACAGCCGCCGTCGTTGTCATGTCGGAGCATTCCGTGCTTCCACCACATCAACTACAACTACTATTGGCGATAGAAAAGCTGCTGCTTCTCCCAAATCGACAAGAAAGGTGAACAAAAAAGGAGTTAGTAGCATCAGATGGCGACGATTCATACCGAAGCAAAATGGGGTGACGGGTGACGAACTAAATAGAATGAAAAGAACACGGACCAAGCTATACTATTGCAAACATACATACGCACACGTACACACACACACACATACGAGCTCGTACCGTACGGAATGACGCACAGACACCGCATATTCTATTGCAATTCTTATGCCAAAGCCCTTATGATCTTTAGATATCTTCCGTTCTCCCCTTTTCATCCTGTTCCTATCCCCCGCTGAACACCAGCAAATCTCTCATGGAGGCCCCTTGAAGGAGCTTTTCCGTGGAAGAAGCAATAGCGAAAGCAACGCGACCTCGGTTATGGGTCTGACAGTAGTAGCAGTAATGATAGCTGTTGCGGGGGAAACGAGAAAAATCGAGGTGGACGAATTCTGACCAGCTGTAATGTAGCTATAGCTATATATATATATATATTGCCATTCCTCGAGTATAAGAAAGCGCTAGTGCGTCAATAGCAGGAGCAGAATAGTGACAGCAGTTGACGAATCATCATGCCTCTTATCCTTAGTCATTATGACGGCAGTTCCTGCTTGCCGGGTCTGTCGTTGAGCAGGTCGATCTCTATTCGAACAACAGTAGGAAAAGCCTTTAACTGATGTTTATGCTTAACGCCAACCTTTGTTCACACGTTGGCCCTCATTTCATGTCCATCTGTCGGGAAAGAACAGTTCATTCAGCCCTAGCCAGAAACTAGTTAGGCAAACAACGAGGCCGAATCGAGGGCATATGCTTAAGCTCATCTTGTGTTCGGAAGGAATCAGGTCCAATTTATTAAAAAAAGGTAATAAAGGTAACCTCCTGCTGCAGAAAGTACTAATGTATTCGCATTAAAATATCGTATGGGTAAGAGAACGAAGGAATGAGAACGATGCACAGAGCGCTCACTTTCTTCATCATCAATGACGCCGAAAATCAAACTTAGACATGCGAAAGTGTGTATAATCATGTGTGGCCACTTCTGCATGGAGTTACAGGAGAAGCGACTCATGGAATCAAAATCAATTTCGCATTAGCCTGTTTGTAATAAATACGCAATCTAAATATACTTAGTTTCTACTTGACTGGTGAAGGGTATTAAAAGGTCATCTTTATCCAGTCATTTGTGTTTAAGAATTATACACACGATAATGCAAATACGCTTGGAGCTACGGGCAAGCTCCTAAATGTTACTATAGGTATATATTACTTGAAACGTATTTGGACGTCACGAAGCATTATTTCTATTATGATTATATTAAAATCACAAATGCACGATCATTCAAAATTACAGTCTTCTTTAAAAGCGAGAAATTCGCATAATTGTTCTTCATGTAGGATTTGTTTGGCTAGAGCATGAGTTCACTATACGTTAAGGTCATCTATTGATCGGCTTCACAGTATTCATTTGAAGGAAAGCAGAAGCTGCAACAATAAGTTAAGCAATACAACAAGAGCGACTACCCCGCAATAAACACTACCACTG